ACGACAACTACAAATAGCCAAAGATACACCTGCTACCCAGCTCGCTGACTGCAGCACCCACTCTCTTTCTTTGCATCCCCTCAAATGAGCCTAGGTAGAATGAATTTTAAATCAGACGAGTTGTTCTAAATGGGAATTCAGATTGAACTAGAGACTGGAAGCATCAGGGGGCCGCAGGTTGCTGAGCTGAGGCCCTTGGTGGCATTTTCCATTGCTCTGAGATGGGGCAGTGGTGTCTGTCCTGTGGCAGGGTGCTTGACTGAAGCTCTCTTCAGCCACATGTCACGTAGCTTGAAAGTGCTAGGGCTTTTGGAAAGGAGTATTTTCTTTCCTCTTGGCCTCTTACATGAGAGAAGGACGATGGTCAGTGGGATGCCCAACTCTGTGATGTCACCTTCCCTATGGCCTGGTTGACTAAGCTACAAAAAGGAAGGGTGACATCTGCTGGATGCCACCCCAGGCCCTGCACGCACACACAGTGCATCCTAAGCAGAGACAGCCTCTGACTACCTGCATGGCGAGAGCCAAACCTTCCGCCATGGAGAGAATGGGGAGGGCTTTGGAGACTGGGACAGACTGGTTTTGTTTTGTCTTGGTGGTGTTTATTTTTTTTTTAAGATTTCTTATTTATTTATTTGAGAGGTAGAGTTACAGACAGTGAGAAGGAAAGAGAGAAAAGTCTTCCATCCACTGGCTCACTACCCAGTGGCTGGAGCTGCGCCCATCCGAAGCCAGGAGCCAGGTGCTTCTTCCAGGTCTCCCAGGCAGGTGCAGGGACCCAAGCACTTGGGCCATCCTCCACTGCCTTCTCAGGCCATAGCAGAGAGCTGGACTGGAAGAGGAGCAACCGGGACTAGAACCGGCACCCATATGGGATGCCAGCACTGCAGACGGAGGATTAATCTCCTGTGCCATGGTGCTGGCCCCAGGCGGCGCTTATTTTAAACTTTCTATTTCCACTAAGAGACAGGTATACTAAAAACAATTAAATAAGAGGCTATGATCATCTGCTTTCTGTTGCTGTAACAAAATCGCCTGAGACCAGGTCACTGATCAAGAACACAGGTTTACTTGGCTCTCAATGCCGGCACCTGCTCAGCAGCTGGTGAGGGCCTTCGCACTGCTGCTCACTGTGACGGGGCGTCACAGGAGAGAGAGCACAGCGTGCTGGCTCAGCTCCTGCCGCCTCTTCCTTTGGAGCCCATAATGTCACCGTGGGGGGGGGCTCATTTAGCCTAATTACCTCCTAAAGGCCCCACCTCCAAATGCCCAAGAACCTGTGAATGTGAGAATTACATTTCCAACACATGAACTTTATCGGAGTGCATTCAAGTCGCTGCAGACATCTGTATCCCCAGCACCCAGGTGTGTGACTGTTCGTGTCTTGCAATATTTTTAAATAGAAAAGTGGCATAATTACAGGTACTGCTCCATCCACCTCCCCAAACCTTGCCTCTAGCCCTGTTAATTAGTACTTGGAAGTTGATGTAAAACATCCCTCTGCGTATTTCTCTGTTTTCTCTGCAAATGTCCAGATGTCTAAAACATTGTCCATGGTTTTAGAGAATGGCTTAAACATGGACAAAAATAGCATGGAGCTGTACATACTCTTTTGTAGTCATTCTCAACACTGGTGTGTATTTGGAAGAACTAAAGTGTGCTAGGTGTTGATTGTGTTAATCCTAGAACAGTCCAGTAGAGTGAGGATCAGAGTCTGGAGGGGGGGGGGGGGGACCAGTTAGATGCTGTGAAGGCAGAATCATCAGGGCACTGTGACTAAGTGGATGTGTGTAGGCGTATGTTGGGGGGGGGGGGGTAAGGAGGTGGGGGGAACGGAAGGACAAGTGTAAGTCTAGTCCAGGGACCTAGATTGGGGACAGCAGCAGTTGCTGGACACAGGAACAGACAAAAGGATGCTGGCCGGTTAAGGTGGTAGGTTCCCTTTTTTGACCTGTTGTATAGAAGTGGCTGTAGCCACTAGGTAGAAGCATTCTGGATATTTGCTGGGGCTTTTGAAAGACAGTGACAGAGAGGGAGATATCAATTTTCTATCCCCTGGTTCCCTCTCCAAATGGCTGCAACAGCCAGGTCTGGGCAGGCCAAAGCCAGGAGCAAGGAACTCCATCCTGGTCTCCCATCTTCAGCTGTCTTTCTGGTTACGTTAGCAGGAAATTGGATTGGAAGCAGCAGAGCCTGAACTCGAAGTGGTGCTACAATGTGGGATGCCAGCGTAGCAGGAGATGACTTAACCTGCAGCACAGCAGTGCCAGCCTCACGTTCAGGATATTTGGGCACGAAATTCAGGAAAGAGATCTGAGCCGGGGATGCCTCTCTGGGTTCATCTAGCATCCAGTGAGCGTGAACTGTGGCAGTGGCAGTAACTTGGTACGAGAGGTTCCAGTGGCACCTTGGCCTGGGACAGATAACGTGGCTCACCCCCACCAGATTCCTCTGGTGAGAACTCTGACAGGTGGCAGCAAGATGCCTGAGGTGGGATTCCTCAGCTGTCACGTCGCCTTCCAAGGTTAAGAGTTAGGCTTGAGACTTTCTGTTCCTGTAACCACCTGTTGAAATCCTCTCCTGGGGGAATTTATGTAAATCCTCTCTGAAGGTAATTTTTGCTCTCAGGCTTTATCATGTCTTGTTAAGTTCATTGACTTTACCATCCTTGACCTACATTTCTTCCTATCTGCCTGAACTTGATCCCTTGTTGTGTTTGAGGGAGCCCCAGCCTTTTCTGGGATTTGATAGCAGTGCATGTACAACCTCATCTGTTGTTCCTTCCCTAGGCATTTAGTCTGGGAATCCCAGTCTTAAGTCTGTCTGCAGGGAGTATCTTAGGAGCCAGATGGGCCCTTCACTCTCGGGCCTGTCACTCAGCACAGACCTCATCTGGAGCCTGTGCTCCCTTCTGCTGCAGAAGGGAGAGGTGCCTGCTGTGAGGCCTGCAGGTGTCCTGGGAGAGTCCCTGTGCATGATGGGAGTCCACCCAGAGTAGCTTAAGGGGTCTGCGAAGAGTTTGGATAGTTGCTGGTGTTCCAGGATCCAGAATTTCTGGAGAATTTCGGGCAGGGAAGGACTTGCAAACACACGGAAACTATAGCATCCTTGGGCCCTGGTTCTTTCTCCCTCTCCTTTCTCTGCTTTCTTTTCTGTTTCTGCTTCTGTTGTGCCTTCTCCTCCTCCTCCATCTTTTCTATATGTGCCTCCCATCACTCGCTGGCAGGGTTGACGTCTGGATCACAGTAACTCTCTGGGTTCCTCTTATTGACAGCTGTGATCTGTTTCCTCCTCTCCCTCCCTTCAGTCCTTTCTTCTTTTCTCAACCCTGCCGCCCACCCAGGCACCAGGCTTCTGATAATGTACCTGGTCCCTCACTGCCCAGACCCCACCCTGAATGCCCCTCCTGCTCTGAAGTTCACGGGCATCTGCCAGGGACCTCTCTGTGCACAAGATCCTGAGTTCGCAAGACAGGGTCTGCTTGGCTCACTCCACCTGGCTGGCGGAGGATGGGGTCCTACCCCACCCTAAGCCAGACAGCAGGTTGGGGGCAGGGTAACAGAGCCCCCTGCCTGCTTTGTAAGGGCTGTGGGTGGGCACAGGGCCCTGAGAAGGCTGTGTGGGGGCAGGTGTTACCAATGTCTCACACAAGCACCATATCCTAGAGCCCTTCAAATGAACTTGACCCAGTGCCAATTGTAAATGTGGTGTCACTGTGTACTCGCATGTTTAACTCGGGCATTCCGCTGCAGGGCCGGGCTTCTTGATTGCAACCAGAACTCTGCTGCTTCTGCATCCTGCAGGCTTTGGGGCGTGATTTGAAACCCATTTCCCCAAGGTCAAGAAACCTCTGCACTATTCCCCAGGGCAGATGGCAGCCTGCCATGGTCAGAGCCTGTCCACCACTCCCCCATGTGGTGCAACCCCTGGTGCCACACCCCCTGTGTCCCTTACCACCCAAAGTCACAAGACTGGCTATTAATAGGTTTGCCTGGAGTGTCCAAAAACAGACTTAGAATGAGAAAACCATGTCCCACTTTCCTACAACTGGAAAACATTACAGAACTTGAACGTTACAAATTTCAAAAAAAAAATAAAACAACCCACAAAATGCGGCTTGTCCAACTTAGTCACGCGGAAGCCTGGGGAGGAAGAGAGAGTGAGCTTGCTCCCCCGCCACAGGTGGTTTGGATTTAGAAACGTGCCTGGAAATTCACTGACCACGCATGCAGGAAGAGGGTTGCTTCGGCTTGCAGCAAAAAGTCGAAGTGCTCGCAGGGCTCATCCAGGTTTACAGAGTCCCTCTTGTCCGCAGCAGTCTCCCTGCATATTTTCAATCTGTCTCCAGATCCTGAGCCAATCAACCCACATTGTGAGGAACACCCACCTCCCTGTGACCTGAGTTAGGTGGGATCCAGCTCCCACAACATGAGTTCGTCCTCACTAGAAATAGTGGCGAGACCCGGGATGTCTCTGTTCCTTGGGGACAGCTTAGCATCTCCGGATAAATACTCCAGCCCAACCTACTGCTGTCTTTGAACTTCCCTTCCCCAACCTCCTCTCCTTTGAGCAAGAAAATGACCCAAAGGAAGAATGGGGGACCATGCTAACTGACAAAGCAGGGGTTGTAGTTCAGGACAGTTGGCTGTGTGCAGAAGTTGGTGTTTGGTGCTCTGTTGCCTTTCATGGGTTTCTTGCTAAACTGCTGGAGCAATCTATTTTAACCCATAGCTAGTCAGGTCGCTTTAAAAGAAATTTCAGTAGTCAACCTCTCTCCCTCTCTCCCTCTCTCCTTCTCTCTCCCTCTCTCCTTCTCTCCCTCCCTCCCTCCCTCCCTCCCTCCCTCCCTCCTTCCTTCTCTTTCTTTCTTTTTCTCTTTTTCTCGCCCAGCCCCCCCCCCCCCAGTGGCCCTGGGCACTTACAGTTCTGTGCAATGGGACAGGTTGTTAACACCAATGAAAAGAAGAGAGAAACACTTTCTGCTTGTGTGCTCTCTTTAGAATAAGAAGTTCTACTTGGACATAATTCACACGTACATGGAGGTGCACGCGACTGTTTACGGCTCCAGTACCAAGAATATTCCCAGTTACGTGAAAAACCACGGCATCCTCAGTGGACGGGACCTGCAGTTTCTTCTCCGGGAGACCAAGGTGGGTTTTCAGTAGCTGTGTCGACATTCACCAGGCGTGCGGTTCCCAGGCTGGCTTCCCTCCGCGTTGACAATGGGATCAGAATCTTCCGTGCCGTTACTTCAGTGCTGCAGCTCTTTTTTTTTTTTTTTTTTTTTTGGACAGGCAGAGTGGACAGTGAGAGAGAGAGAGAAAGGTCTTCCTTTCTTTCTGTTGTTTCACCCCCCGCAATGGCCGCTGCGGCCGGCGCACCGCACTGATCCGAAGCCAGGAGCCAGGTGCTTCTCCTGGTCTCCCATGCGGGTGCAGGGCCCAACCACTTGGGCCATCCTCCACTGCACTCCCAGGCCATAGCAGAGAGCTGGCCTGGGAGAGGAGCAACCGGGACAGAATCCGGTGCCCCGACTGGGACTAGAACCCGGTGTGCCAGCGCTGCAGGCAGAGGATTAGCCTAGTGAGCTGCAGTGCTGGCCTGCAGTAGCTCTTGAGGCCCTGTCCAGACAGTGATTGGCCCTGTCAGCTGTCACTGTGAAGTCAGTGTTGCCGTGGATGGAGGTTACTGCTGGTTTGTTAATTGGTTATAGGGCTGGGGACGTCTGGCCCACCAGCCGTATGAGGCCCACGAAACCATCTGTTCTGGCTCTGCTAAAGCGACTGCAGGCCGGACTCAAAATTCAATAAATCTGTGGCAGGCTTATTTTTAAGTTGATAATTTTGTATTGCTGACCAATGATGTTATATATATCCAAATGGCCCTTGGCAGGAGAAAGGTCCCCACCCCTGAATTTTAGTCCAGGAGCATGTTCATGGGGCCTCTAATCTAGGCTGGGGGTCAGGATACAGATGGGAAAAGTAAGGCCTTTCCTGGGGGAGGACCCTGTGATGGAACTTCAGGTTGCACCATGAGCGGGGGTGCCGAACTCCTCCACCCAGCTCGTCCTCATTCCTCCTCTTCCCACAGTACATGCTGGCCACTGAAGCTAGGTAATGGGAAGTCCCCATGGGCGCAAACATCACAGAGGGCATCATAGAAGATGGCAGAAATGAATGGGGTGTGACCACCCCTGGCGTGTGGGCCAGGCAGGGTGAGTCAGGTGGAGGGCAAGATGACATGTTCAAGAGAGAGCTAGAAACCAACTTGGCTAGTGTAAGTATTAAAATAGTAGAAGATGAACCTTATGAGGAGGTGAGGGTCTGATGGCCACAGCCGTAGGCAGGGTTGAGACTGTGTGGTGGAGGTAGCTTGGGGAGCCACTGAGGAGTATTTGGCTGAGCCGTAGCCTGAGGGTGTGGTACTTGGACTCCATGGGGAAGTCTGCCCAGTGGGCTGTGTCCTTTCTACATTCTGGATTTGTGAAGAAACAAGTTTGGCCTGGACGGGTTGGCTGGCACTTTTAAGTTAAATGATCTCCCTATGTTGATGAGTGAGGCCTCCTCGTTGGTGAATTTTATGAGTATTTACTGAGCAGCTGCTACGTGCCAGGAACCACGCGAGGGGCACGGTCATGAAGAAATCAGGTGGCTCTCTCTCACGGTGTTTGCTGCAGCATTGCGAAGCTTGCCTTTAATAGTGGACTTTTTAGCACTGGTCCCTGTCTGACTTCCTTTAGGGGCTCAGTGGGGAGAGAGGTTGAGCAGATGGCCTCCCATGGCCTGATGGTGACGGCCAATCACTGTGCTGTGGTTCATTTCTGGCAGATGTATTCACCTGTGGTGCTCTCTTTGATTGCCACAACAGCTAAGAGCGGTGGACAGGGCAGGTGTTACTGTTAACTTTCTGGTGAACATGAGGAAGTAGGCTAGAGTGTTGGACCTGGGATCAAGACTCGGAAGTGGCCCCTCCATGATTTTCTTTGTTTTGCAAATTCAAGCTCTGCTAAACCCAGGACATCCCATCCTCAGAAACACCCTCATGTGAGAAACTCGATGGACCCCCACCAGCCAATAGAATATGTGGCTCCTCTTTGCCTCAGTTTCACCTCTGGAAATGCATTTTATTCTTTTACCATCAAGCCATTGGGTGATTCCATGAATAAAATCGTTAGACACCTGCTTATCTCCTTGGCCAAAGGCCTGGCTTGTTTTGATTATGACTGTGTCTCCTTTCAAGGTCACCTGTAGTCCCATGCCTGGGTGTAGCCTCGCTGGCAGGACGCGTGTCCCCAGCTTCACTGTTGGTTTCCCATCGCCTTCTGCTTTGGTTGACACTTCAGAATCGTCAGAACATCCTCTGATGGTGACAACTGTTTTTGCCATTGGCCTCATTTTACTTTTCTCCACTTCGGGGGATGGAAGAAGTTCAAGCTCCTTGAAAATAGCATTTGCCAGTGCTGGATTTCAACAGCGTGTCACTGCTGTCTCGCACACTTGTATTAACCTCGCCTCGTGAGTGTCTTGCTCAGCCTTGCAGATTTTAAAAGAACTCTTACTTACCTCCCATCCATTTACCCTGTCAAGGAATAGGAAATAGGCCAAAATTGAGATCCCTAATATCCAGGGGCGGACAAGAATAGAGGACCCGAAGGCCCGGGCAATGATGTGAGAGATTGCCTTAACAGCCAACAGTTGCGGTTTGCATTTTGAACATGAAGGGTGTATATTCATCTCTGAAAAAGTAGTGCCTTCCTGAGTGTCCCTGATCCCATCCCGTAGTGGCTGTCCATGTGCCTGGAATATATTAAAACACTGCTCGTGGAATGATGGCTCAAAAGGCTGGCAGATATGACAAGGACACAGCACTCCATCACTTAGACTCCCCTCACACGCTGGCCACAGCAGCAGGCACTAAAGCGAATGAATCCCGGGCTTTGAAATAATGGCATCAAAGACCAGGCAGGCTTTGCATTTATGACCCCTTCTGCCTCCCTCTCCTTTTTCGGCCTCCCTGAGCAATTTAAAAGCGATTTATTCCGATGCATGTGAGAAGCGGAGAGCTGGAGCTGCCGACGGGCAGCGGCTGTGGTGTGAGGAGGTCCACACGTGCCTCAGACGTGGGACTGGAGAGGGAAGCAGCTCTGGTCTCCCCGAGAGGTGCAGCAACAGACTGATGCTTCCTCAGCTTCCGCCTCCATGCTGATCCTCTGCAAGCTGTCCTTGCATCTCTGCACCAGGGCAGGAAAGCGTCCACTCAGTGGAATTTTGTCCCCGCCTGCCGCTAGCAGTCTGGAGTCATTAGCAGACCCTGGCTTCAGGGAGCCTTGTAAGGGTGGGAGGAGTTGAGTTCATCCGGAAGGCGAGGCTTGAAAGATCAGCTAGTTGTCGGAATCCAGAGTACGCTTCTAAATGGGGTGTACATTCCGGCGCGTGAATTATTTATCAGAGGACTACAGGAAAGCCATTCAGGCCAGCCAACTCCAGGAGTACAGTTTGCACGGCAACTTGGGGCTCACTGGGGTGGCCTGTTTGTTTTTGTGGCTTTAATCTCCAGCTCTCTTCATGTGGGTTCTTTCCTCGCCTCTCTGGTTTTGACCTTTATGTCCACCTCCAACCGTCTCCACTGGGGAAGCTCTGTTACTGTGAACAAATAGGGCGTTTGCATCCTATCTTGGCATGCATGAAGGGCTGGAACTGTGTGATTCGGAGCCAGGCCAGGCGCCCTTCTTTCTACACTGGAGAAGCTCTGCTGCTGCCCCTGTTCATCCTCTACCCACCTTGACGCAAATCTTCTGACATTCAGCCCTCCAGGAGTCGAGCGGACCATGACCATCCTGTGTGCTCTGCTCATCTGTGTGTCTGCTGGACTGTGGCACCTACCCAGAGGCCTGGATGCGATGGGGCTTGTGTAGAATGCACCGCCTGACCCCATCCTGCTCCATGCCTGCCCCTCACTGCCCCCACCTTCACACACTCCCCCCAGCAGCTGTGGCTCTGCCTACTGGCCAGGAATGTTCTCAAAACCAGGGCTTACGGCAGCACCTAGGACCAGACCCACATGCGGCACCACGAGTGCACAGGGACTGTGCTTTCTAGTCACAGGTACGTTGCCTGTGCCCACCTGACCTCCAGGAAGCCTTTGGTTAGAGCTTGGGAACTCCCAAACTGAACAACTCAACAATAAGAAAGTATTGAATGCAGACATGATGCCACAGGTGGAAAATGCCGCCCTTGACCTTGTGTGATAGGTCACGGTCACAATGCAGGATGCTGAAATGACTGGAAACAGTTGCATTGGAATAAAGTGCATAGGAAGTGGAAGTGATTTCGTGTGTAGGCTGGGGTGCCGCCCCCAAGATAACTCATTTTATGAGTGCAAATGTTCCAAAACTCAAGATTTGAAATCCACACTTCTGCTCCCTAAGCATTTCAGATTAGGGGTTCTTACCTTGTAAATTAGAAAGGTTAAAGAAAGGACTTGAGATCCAGCTGGGATCTGAGGGCCATGACCTCACAAGTGATTTCTGCCTGTTTTTTTATGAGTCAAGCCTTTGTATATCCCAGGTCTCCCCATCAGGGACCATTGCCTTTCTGGTACCCCGGATGTCTGCAGGCCATGTGAGTGACAGCCCAAGAGCTCACTTCTCTTTCAGATGCTGGTTCCCCTTTGTCCTCAGGCACCCATCTCAAGCAGGGTTCCTCCTACTGTCCCTTGGGTCATTCCCATCCCTTCCAGATGAGGAAAGAAATCGGACAAACACAGACATGCACATTCCTCCTCCCCTGTCCAGTATTTGTGTATGGAGGATGAAGGGTGTAGGGTCTGACTTCCAGATGCAAGGCACATCCCCACACCCAGCTACACGCAAACACATCACCCTGTCTGCACAGGGACACCTGGGTGCAGCAAAGATCTAGTCCATTAGCAGTCACTCTTTTGCTGTTCGTCTAGTTATTTCTGGATACAGAAATAATTTGGCCAGTGGAGCCCTCAAGGAGCATACAGGTGTGCTGGAGGGAACCAGTCAGGTAACTCACAGTGTGAGAAGTACCCAGGGACCAGGTGGTAATACACAGTAACGCTGCCCCCCCTGCCGCCTCGCTGCGACGCTGAGTGGAGGCCGTGGTGCCGAGTGCTGTGTGTGACTTGAGGAATCACTAATCTGGCTGGGATGAACCTGCTGCAGAGCGCAGAAGCCAACCGCCAGCCACGCTTTAACGCGTTGAACACACTGGTGTTGTCATGGCGCACATGACCATGGGGTTTACTGGGACAGTGACAGCCTTTATCTCCACCTTGACCATGCCCTGGTGCTAAAGCGCTTTCCATGCATTCTGTCTCCTTGTATTCCGAATCCGGGGCTGCTGCTACTGTTACAATCCCGTTTAAGAATGCAGAGGCCAGAGCTCTGGCTGTGACTAAGCCTGCAGCCGCCTCCCTATTGGGAGGACCCGCTGTGGAATGTGAACGGGAGAGGAGAGGTCTAGGAAGGTGGCCCCAGGCGGCGGTGCCTGAGCCCACCTCCACTGGTGACCTACTCAGGCTGGCCCAGCTGAAGATGTTCGGCATCTCCAGCCTTGAAGGGCTTCCCATTCTCTCCTCCTCCCATGCCAGAATCAGCAGATGGCAATGCATTTGCTTTTGTCTGGGGATTTGCAAGTGACTGACTGAGGCACAGGAACTCTGCATCTTGATGGTGCTGGAGTTCCCAGCTTTAGCTTGGTCCAACTCTTTTTTTTTTTTTTTTTTTAAGATTGATTGATTTATTTGAAAGTCGGAGCTACACAAAGAGAGAAGGAGAGACAGAGGGAGAGGTCCTCCCCCCAACTGGCCGCAATGGCTGGAGCTATGCTGATCCAAAGCCAGGAACCAGGAGCTTCTTCCAGGTCTCCCACGCGGGTGCAGGGGCCCAAGGACTTGGGCCATCCTCTACTGCTTTTCCAGGCCACAGCAGAGAGCTGGATCGGAAGTGGAGCAGCTGGGACTCCAACCTGCACCTACATGGGATGCCGGCACTGCAGACGGTGCCTTTATCCGCCACGCCACAGCGCCAGCCCCTAACTCTTTTTTTTTAGGTATTTGAGGAGTGAACTAGCAGCCAGGAGCTCTCTATCCCTGTCTCTATTAATTAATTCTTATCTAAATATGAAGGGATTGTTTTATAAGATTTACTGATGTATTTATTCGAAAGGCAGCATGATCTCTTAGCCTCCCAGATGGCTGCAATTTCTGGGTCTGGGCCAGACCACAGGCCAGGAGCCAGAAATTCATAGCAAGAACTCAAGTACTTGGGCTCTTATCTGCTGCCTCCCAGGCACATTAGCAGGGAACCCAATCTGAAGCAGAGCAGCCTGTATTCAAACCAGCACTCGGATATGGGGTGCGAGCACCCCAGGTGAGGCTTAACCTGCTGCACTGCGCCACCAGCCCCAAGGAACCTCTGTTAGGGGCTGTCCTGAGTGATATAAGGCAATGCTGTTTCTCTTTGTCAGTGGCCGTGTAGCACTGTCCCATGACTGAAGCATGGTGCTTGGTCCTTTCTCTGTTTCGCATCGGTTCCAAATGCTCCCAGAAGAGCCTGTCGTCCCTGTGCCTAGAACTGCTCGGTGATGGAGCTGCCGTGGCAGCCAGGGGGCTGTGCCATCATCTGGAAGGTCCCCACCCGAGGCCTGGCTCCTGAAGGCAGGGCAGAGCACACAGCACATAGGGTCGGCTTTCTCCCGGGGAGTGGGGCCTCGGCTCGCGCGTGCATCCGTGCCGCGTGTCTCTTGCCTCCACGCTGCAGAACTCTGAGTGAGCACCATGAGGACGGAAGCAGAGCATTTGGAAGGAGGGAAACGTTTTCGTGTGGTTAAGGTGCCCACGTGTGGCCACGCCAGCAGCACACAGAGGTTTGCCGATGGTGGTGCTGAGTTCTCTGGGCCTACTCTGTCGTCTTTCCAACCACAAATGCGCTCTGTGTCCTGAGCCCATCTGCTTCCCTGTAATGCACAGGTAATGAGTACACAGGAAGCAAGGGAAAAGATTGCTTATTGACAGAAATGACCAAAGAAAACTGTTATTTTGGTGTTTTCACGTAATGCATTTCCTGCAATCCTAATTAGTGTGATGAGAAAACTCATTGCCAAGATATTGTGTGGTGTTTGCTTAAGCTTCATTCTAAAATGGTGAGGCTTGGGAGAGTTGGCCCGAAGTGTTTACTTTATGTGTACAGAGATATTCTGGTGCCAGCGGGGCAGAAGAGATGGTGCAAATTGCTATTCAGTTATAATTAAACCGAGGTCGCATTCAAGCCCATTAAGCAACAGCCTCAAATCCTTTTAATTAATAGGTTCACACTGGTTGGTCTGAAGGAGCTAATTAAATTTTTTTCCCCAAGATTTTCTGTTAAATAGATGAGCATTGTGCCTCATGCATTAACTGCAGAGTTGTTCTTTGCAATGTAGTGGTGATGAAGGGATCAGCACTTCGTGGTAGGCCCTGATGTTGAGAGGTCGGGATGCACTGTGGACTGCCATACAGAACCCAGCTGCATCTTCTAGCACCTGTCTTCTCACAGAGTCGCAGATCTGGATGCCCTGTGCCTTCCCATTCCCCACTGCAGCCTGAGCAAGCTCATCTCATTTCTCCTAGATGGCCCACGCATCCTCGCCAAGGTCAGAGAAAAAGCAGAACCTAGAGATCGAAAGTCTCAAGGGTGATAAACCTGGGTCCTTCATTTTTAATCAAGCAGGAATGTCTAGGAGCTGGCTCTCTGCACCATTTCGTCCTGTGCCTTCTGCTGCTGGCAGTCCCAACCCCCACCTCTGAGCCACAAGCCCCACCCCAGCTAGTGCTCCTAAGCTGGCCTTGACAGTCTCCTTTCTGTTTGCTGAATGAGTAAGATGGAAAGTGTGAGCCTGGGGATGGTGTAGAGATTGGCCCTTGTCTGCAGCCCCTGGGCCCCTGCGGCCATGCTCTCCCTCACCCGTGTGGTCTCTGCAGCTGCTTTCTCCCAAGGGGAGGGCGCCCAGGCAGCAGGTGGAGCTCTGCTGGCCCCTCTCCCCAGCTCCTTCCCCTAGGAGTACTGCAAGCAGTGAGATGCAAGGTTTGCAAGAAAAGCAAGGCACTTCCTCCCAAACACCCAGAAATATGAGCCTCCTGCCCTGTATCAAAGTTAACGGAGGATCTAAGAGGACAGTTTTTTGCCCTAGAATTTCCCTAGCGGCTATGTAACCCTCCAAGGTTTCAGCCATGGCATGCTGCATCCTCATGTGTGCCTGGGAAGCCTTAATTTCAAATAATCATTCTGTGAAAGAAGCTGCGAAGATGGCCGAGCAGGGAGGGGAGAAACACCCCCAGCCATATTCAGCCGGGCAGATGTCGCACTAGGAGCCACATCTCAGCGCTGGCCCCATGGTGTTCTGCACACCAGGGTGGGAGGAAGCCACAGCCTTGGAGCCCACTTGGCCTTTGTCCCTTGATGAGCTTCTGGGGACTGGAGCAATTTTGGAACTGGTTCCTTGGCGTGTATGGGACAAGCTCACACTGGATTTGTTCATTCATTCTTAAATGAATATGAAGGAATCATAAAGACTTATTTCCGTATGTATTCAAAAGGCAGAATAAGAGATCTTGACTCCCTCAGGGCCCGCCAGCAGCGTGACAGGTGCCCTCTGCGAGGCATTTCTGGGAGATGCTATTTCAATTTTGGACCCAGGAATGAGCGCCCACCAGGCTGCAGCTCTTCCGCTTTGTCACAGCAGCTCTGGCTGCCGTAGCTGTGGCCCGGACTTGGAACGCGTGTTTCTGCTGCCATCTGTCGCCTGCCGTGGGGAAGGCACACCGTTTGCAACCCCAGGGAGGGAAGCAGCCTGGCAGGGGGAGCAGCTCTGCACCCGTTCCCCCACCGCCACCCTCCCCCGCACTGGACAGGGCGTGCTGGTGGCCCCCAGTGAAGAGCCCGCTGTGAAAACCTGTGTTTCCCGCCCTACCATCATCATTTGACTGCAGTCGCATTTGAACTGCAATCAAACCACCCAGTGACCTCTCTGTGCCTCCGCCCACAGCCCTGAAAGGGCCCTTGTTCCCTTGGCTCAGTGAAGAAAGCTTCTGTTTAGTTAAGCGCGTGTTTTTCCAGTCCTGTCTCCCGGTGAGGTACAGAAAGATGATTGTTGGGTCTCGCTTTTTGTTGTTGTCTTTTTCTTTTAACCCCTGACCTCCCTCCCCCTCCCCACCCCTTCCCCACCTGCTTCCTCACTTTCTTAGCGAAGAAGGAAAGTGCGGAAGCTGCGCAGTTTGGATCTGAGAACCCCCGGTGATGCTTTTCAGATCCCGGTCTGAGCCGACTTCTCTACAGGGCCTGGGACCCTTCCAACGTGTCTGAGGCATGCACAGGGAGGCCTCAGCAGAGCCCCCTGCGAGCCAGGGATGCCAGTCCTGACTGATGTGTTTATGTGCTGTGTGTTTTCTGTCCTACAGTTGTTTGTTGGACTTGGGTTCCCTTATGAGGGCCCGGCTCCCTTGGAGGCCATTGCAAATGGATGTGCTTTTCTGAACCCCAAGTTCAACCCGCCCAAAAGCAGCAAAAACACAGACTTTTTCATCGGCAAGCCGACGCTGAGAGAGGTAAGCATCTTTGGGAAGTCGTTCTCTGTGCAGTTACACGGATGGTGGCTATTTATGGAATGCTGCTATGTTCCTTGGTATCTGTGGGGCATTGGTTCCAGCTCTCCCCACTGCCCCCCAAATCTGCGGATGCTCGAGGCCCTTGCATAAAACAGCACAGACCCTGTGCATATCCTCTGTATGCTTTATTTTTTAAAGAAGCTTTATTTTATCTATTTGAAAGAATTAGAGAGGTCTTCCATCTCTTGGTTCACTCCCCAAGTGGCTGCAACTGCTGGAACTGGGCCATTCAAAAGCCAGGAGCTGGGAGCTTCTGGGTCTCCCATTTGGGTACAAGGGCCCAAGGACCTGGACCATCTGCTGATATCCCAGGTGCATTAGCAGGGAGCTGGATCAGAAGTGGAGCATCCGGGACTCGAACTGGCACACATATGGGATGGCAGCACTGCAGGCCTTGCTTTAACCCACTGAGCCACAGCCAGCGCTGGCCCTCACGTATACTTTAAGTCATCTGTAGATTACTTAAAATACTGAGTATAAGTGTTTGTATAGAACTATTGTAGAGTGTTTAGGGAGTAGTGACAAGCAAAGCTGTACATGTTCAGAGATGCAGTTTTTTCCAAATGTTTTCAGTTTGTGCCTGATTGAGTCTGCGGGTGACAGACCCATGGACTGGAGGCTGACACTCTTATTAACTTTATTCAACATGGTGAGGTGGGAGGCGGGGCATTTGGCGTGGCCTTGAGGCTCAGAGAGATGAATGACTTGGTGGTATCACCTTATACATTGGTGCCTGGCCAGGATTTGAGCCTACATCTGACTTCACGAAGTAAGGCCAAGTCTATCTTAAGGTGAACACGGACATTCTAGCCTTCTGGTTATGATGGAACTCTGATCTTGTGCATGGCTATAATGTAAGTAATAAGGAAATCAACACAGTTATTTGGAGGAGAATCTTCTGTCCTTGATAGGCTGTGAAGGGTAAAAGGCTCAAAGAGTTTTCAAGGGACCATCGCCCTGAAAGACGTGCCGTGGGTTGCTGCCGTGACCTGCCTGAATGTTAGCTCACCGTCAGCAAGCGCCATCCTGTGCAGCAGCCCTGCCCAGCAGGAAGCACGAACAGAGGACTCCTTTGAATTGCCTTCAGAGCTCTCCTGAAAATCCGCAATGGGTGATGGATCGCCAGGGTGGTTGGATTGGATTCAGGGCTGTAAGCAAAGGTCATTAACAACAGAGTGTGAGTGGTCAAGCAGATGTTCCCGTGTCTGGTCAGACACAAGTATGTGCAGGAAGCTGTGGCTGATTTCCTTGAGATTTCTGTGTGGTTAGTGAGTGGTGCTAAAAGCTGCGTGTGCACAGGAAGTCAAAGCAGCGTCCCGGTCACTCAGGGCCTTGCACTGGGGGGCGTTACCCTTATGGGCAGCCTGCCCATGATGTGACAGCAGCACAGAAGGAATGTTTGGGAGGCATACCTTCCCCAAGTCTGCTGCTTTTAAACCCTTCACTTTCCCCGATTCTGTCTCCCAAAGAGCACATGCAATGAATTTTCAGTAAGTACTCTGTAGAGATGACTCAGATCTCTCCAGTTCATGGAATTGATTACGTTGGGAGTTCTTTTCTCTGACCCTTCCTGTCCTTCATGAAATGGCAACAAGAGACATAGGAAGGGCAAAGAGATGCGTAGGTGACCTCACAAAGGTTAACCTGGGGCCCAGGTAAACTGCTGACGTGGGCCCCTTGTTTGCTTGCTTGCTTTTTCCTGCAGCTGGTCGCATACATTTGAATTCTTTATTTCAATGAGTGGTTTCTTCTTGCGAGGTCAGTTGGTTCATTCATTCCTTAGCAATACGTATGCACACCTGGGTGCAGGTCCTAGGGTGCAGAGATCAGGACCAGCCAGCCGTTGAAGGGCTCACTCTTTGGAAAGATTTAAAAACCACCTCCCCCGAGCTGAGAACATCTCAGTGTAGGAGTCGATGCTTTAGTGGGTGATGACTTCTTCGGAGTTTGGGATAAAAATGGACTAACAAAATGATCCCTAGGGTTTTTTGTTTTGACAAGTAAAAGTTGTGTGTGTGTGTGTGTGTATAGTATAATAACTTGATATTTTGATATCAAGAAACTGAACATTGCAGTGAAGCAAACTGACACCCCGTCACCTTACACAGATGCCGTTTTTGGCGTAGTGAGAACACTGAAGACCTGCCATCTTGGCGGATTGCAAGTGTACACTGCGGTATTGTTAGCCCGAACTCACTCATCTTAGATAGCTACAACTTTGTGATGTTTGACTATTTTAGATTCTGCATACAAAGGAGATGATGCAGTATTTTTGTATATCTATATCTGACTGACTTAACAATGTCCTGGAGTTTCTTTTGTATTGCAAATGATAAGATCTTCTGTTTTTAAGGCTAAATCATATCCCATATGCATGTACTCAGACACAGTTTCTTTATCATTCATCTATTGGTAGCCACTTAGGTAGTGTCCATGCCTTACCTCCTGTGAATGGCATGACAGTGTACATGGGAGTGCAGATGTCTCACGGATGTACTGATCTCAGATCCTTTGCATATGTATCCTACAATGGGATTGCTGGATCATGCATTAGTTATATTTTAATTTTTTGAGGAACCTGCCTACTCCTTTCTGTAATGACTTTACTGCTTCACATTCCTGCCAACAGAGCTCAAGGGCTCTCTGTTTACCACTTTCTCACCAACACCTGTTACCTTGTGTCTCATAAAAGTCATTCAAAGAGGCACGAAGTGATACCTCACTGGATTTTGATTTGCATTTCTCTGATAATTAGTGAAGTTGAACACCTTTTCATGTAGCTGTTTGCTTTTCATCTTCTTTTGAGAAGTATCCAAGTCCTTATTTTTTAATTGCATTATTTGGTGTTTTGCTCTCGAATGTCCTATATATTTCAGATATTATCCCCTTCTCGGATATATGGTTAGCAAGTGTTTTCTCTCGTTCTGTAAGTTCCCTTTTCATTCTGTGATTACTTCCTTTGCTGTAAAGAGGCAGTCCTGTTTGTCTGTTTTGTGCTTGTCCTTTTGGTCCAAAATTTCATTGCCCAGACTTGGTGTGAGGAAACCATTTCACTAACATTTTTTCCAATAGTTGTAGTATTTTAGCTGTGTATGTGATTCAAGAATGCAGTTTTATTCTTCTGCATGGACATACCCAGTTTTCTTCCCATCCCTACAGTGTGCTCTTGGCACCCATGTTGAAAACCGAGTGTAAATGTGTAGACTCATCTCTAGTTTCCTAACTAGTTTCATTTCTAAGTGTTCCATTCACTGGTGCTAAGTATTTTCTTTAAAAAAAAAAAAAGATTTATTTATTTGAAAGTTACAGAGAGAAGGAGAGACACAGAGAGAGGTCTTCCATCTACTGGTTCACTCCCCAAATGATTGCAATGGCCAGAGCTGAGCCCATCTGAAGCCAGGAACTTGTTCCAGATCTCTCATGTGTGTACAGGGGCCCAGTGACTTGGGCCATACTCCGCTACTTTCCAAGCACATTAGCAGGGAGCAGGATCAGAAGTGGAGCGGCTGGGACTCGAACCAGAGCCCATATGGGATGCCAGCACTGCAGGTTGGGGCTTTACCCCACTGCACCACAGCACTGGCCCCGGCACTAAGTATTTTTCACAGTGTTGTGGGACCATCACTACCATCCATTTTCAGAACTTACTTACCATCCCAAATAGACATTCTGTACCCATTAAATAGACACTCCACATTCTCCCTTCCCCAGCACCTAATGACCTCAATTCTACTTCATCACTGTGAATTTGCCTATTCTAGGTACCTCGTATAGATGGAATATATATGTGTTCCATTGTGCCTGACTTACTTAGCATAATATTTTGAGACTTCGTGCTGTGGTGTTATCAGAACCACATTCCTTGTTTAATGCTGCATAGTCCATCATAGGTATTCATCACTGATGGACATTTGGATTCTTTCCACTTTTTGCCTATTGTGAATAATGGGACTACAAAACTTACCATACAAATATGTTTTGAGGCCCTGCTATCATCAATTTTGGGGGAGCCTATACCTATAAGTGGATTGTTAGAATGTATGTCTTCTTTATTTTGAAATAAGTTTAGCCATACAGAAAAATTAGAAAAATATTAGAGTACAGAGAGCCCCTCCATCCATCTGCCCCTGTTGGTATAATTTTACAAAGTCGCGTAGTTATCAAAACCAGGAAATAAATACTGGCTCTGTGGTATTATCTAAGCTACAGACTCCATCTAGACTTGGCCAGTTTTTCTACTCAGGTCCTTTGTCTGTTTCTGTATTCAGTTCAGGGTCCCTTGTTGTATTCCCTTGCAATATCTCCTCGTCTCCTGCAGTCTCTGACAGTTCAATCATTCATTGTCAGTCATGACCTTGATGTTTTTGAAGAGTACGGATGAGGTTTTTGGTACACTGTCCCTGAGTGGGATGGGGCTGCTGTATGAGGTGATGCATTTTGGGCAAGGTCACTGAGCAGTGATGTGACCTTCTCACTGCGTGGGGTCAGGAGATGCACAGCCTCCATATGTTTTGTGACTGGTGACATTCATCTTGATCATTTGGTTACAGTAGTGTTTGCAGGTTTATCCACTGGGAAGTTACTGTTTTCCTCTACCTTAGGGACAATGGTCTGAAGCTATGCAGATAGCCTGCATCTCCAACTTGTGCCGATGCGTTTATTGAGCCATGTAGCAGTGTATCTGGTATGCGACAGCCGTTACTATGTTATTCTGAGGGTAATCCTCTGTTTGCTTCCCTGTGATTTTTTTCTAATGCATGAAAAGAAATCCATCTCTTTTCTTACCACAGTTTTTGTATACGAGCCTTTGTGAAGTGATAGATTGAAAGTATCTTCTACCGGGGCTACTGTTGTGCGGTGGATCGAGCGGCCACTTGTGTCACTGGCAAACCTTGTCAGAGAGCCACTTCTAGTCCTAGCTGCTCCGCTTCTGAGCCAGC